CCCTCAAAATTGTACTCAAGTACTGTACTCAAGTAAATGTACTCCGTTACTGTCCGGCTCTGACAATAGTAATATAATTATAATGGAAGCTTAATATGTAAGTGGACATCCCAAAAATAAATGTTTTGAAAGGACAGCTTTCTAGGGAAGAATTGCCATAGAAAAAGGTGTTCACATACATAAATGAACATAACTGAACATATTTCTTGTTCAATTCTGCATGTTAATTGACACCTTGCCACAGATGCGGCCCATAGTGAATAAGTTGAAAATAACTCCGCTCAATTTGGCATCTATTTCTGCATGTGTCTTTGAATGCTGTGCATGGGAGCAGGTCAAATTAGCAGGACTAAAGGTCCATTTGTATTACTTCTCAGAACTCAAGCTATTCTGGAGGTTACAGTATCTCCATACTAAATGTGTCCCATTGTTCAGCGAGTAGCAGCTACTCTTTTCTTGAGTTAATGGATCCTAAAAAGCTTGCATGCACCGTATCTCCACATGTATACTGTCAGTGGCCCCATCCCTTCCACAGTGACTCTTTAAGGCATGACCAACGACTGAACCCAGCGACCGGTGAAAGACTGCTTCCATTAGTGTGAGGCAGAGAGTGGATGAGATAGAGAGAACAATGAAAAAATGGAGAGAGATATTTATATGAAGAACCAGAGGAAAATTCTGGCACAACTCCATCTCACAACTAAGCTTTAAGTGCCATTAAAAGCTTTCGACATGCCTGTGTATTACTCAAGGGTGACTAGGGGTCATTTTAAACAATGCTGGCCATTTATATTTAGATGATGAAAATCCACAGCTAAATCCTGAGCTAGATGATGGTCTAAAATAATTTGTGTGGCTCTGCTGTTTTTGCACTAGTCACATGTAGCCGGCGGCTTGAAGACGGTCCATAATGTCAGGCCAAGAACTTCCCGTTTAGACAGGAAGAGACACAGTGACTGGCATGTACAGTTACCAATAGTCCTTTTGTATTATTATTTAGTATTTGGTGCTGTTTATGGGTGGGAAATATTAAATAAAATAAAGAATAGGCTGGTGGGTAAAAAAACTATTCTAAAAACAACACATTGGGCTGCGTGAATGATTGTTCAGAAGAAATTGCACAAACATTTATAGACTTCCAATAGTACACTGAAAAGAAATGTTGGCAGTGGATCTGTAGTTAACAGCAACATAACGTGTTTAATAACCCTAAATCACAATTTCTCATGGAAGCAAAGTTCGCCTATCAGCAAGGAGTCGAACGTGTCCAAGAGTCCTGAGCTTTATTGGAAACTGAATGTTGGGTCGATGTAACTCAATTAAGTTAAAACCGCTTTCCCTTGTTTTACGTTACATAAAACTGATTGAAGTCGGCAACAGCAACATTATAATTTGTCGGTAGAATCAGGATTAGACTGATCAAAACCCTCCACTTTCAGACTCCCGGAGATTGTATTGAAGTCGGTCAATTTGATCTGCTCTCCAGCTTGCATCAGATGGTCAGAAAATACAGTCTGTCTGAGACTAAAACAAGTGTTGCCGCTCTTTCGTCATGTGGCGTACCTCAGGTGTGTGTACTAGGCCCCTTCACACTGTTATCAGTTCATCACTGTTTACCCTGAGATGAATCCAGCGCACACAGACGACACACCAGCCGAGACATCTCTCCGATAGCCTCTTTACTCCATCCCTCTGACGGATGAACACACGCTTGCTCGTGCTGTGTGGTCTCTGTGGTCTGGGAGATCAGCCGGCAGAGCTAATATTCATCTTTCATATGCAACACACAGATCATAGGCTCTGTTTAACACATCACAGGAGGCTCTTAGATCACTTTACATGTCTGACAATGTGTTCATTTGTCCTTTCACAAGTCACAGTACTGTAATTCAAGCGGCTTCACAAGATACTCTGTTCCATATGAACAAATGCAAATGCCTGAAATACGATAATGTAAATAATGTAAAGAGCCTTTTTGTTGTTAAACATTTTTTTTTTTTAAGTTGAAAGAAACTTTCAAACTTACATGCGTACTGAATCTGTGTCATGTCTCTCCTGTTCTTCCTGTCGACATCATCTCACATTGATTGAATCAACTCTTGATATGGTTGGGTTGGGTTGTGTGTGTGTGTGTGTACATGTGGAGCATTTGAACACCTGGACTCATTTTGCTTGATACAGAGCTTGTTCTCTTTCTTCCAAGCACTCACCTGACAAGCAAACACTAGATACTGAAGTCTGTTTTTCGTTACCCACAGTCAGAAAATGTTGATGTAGTTATTTGCATTCCCTTCATTTGCATGTGTTTGCACAGATCTGTTTAATGCCTCCTAAACGACAGAGACAAGTCACAAGGTCATTCCAGTTGTTGCCGTCAGTGAGAAATGCTCTATTACTCACACAACACAACTTCACACACGCACTTTTGGCATAGTGAGTAATTTCTTGCATAGGATACAACTTTTCATCCCTGCCTCGCTTAGTCAAAAGGCTGCATCTTATTAAGGCGAAATTACATTATTTGCCCACAGACTTGAATATGATGATGATGAATCCAGAAAATTAAGTAAATGTTACAGAATAAAGGGTTTAGCACTAGTAGCTGACTGTCATATAAATGGTACAATTATTAACACGAACAATTCAGGTCATATTACCTATACAAATGCTTTTTTCAGATAAATGCAATTGTGCAATGCAGTGATGGGTTTCCATGTTTATGTGGAATTTCCATAGACATAACCATTCTTATACTGTACAAACTGTATATTCTCTCCCCCTATACACTAAACCTACCCCTAAACCTACCCATCACACACACACACACACACACACACACACACACACACACACACACACACACACACACACACACACACACACACACACACACACACACACACTAACCCGACCCCTAAACCTACCCATCACACACACACACACACACACACACACACACACACACACACACACACACACACACACACACACACACACACACACACACACACACACACACACACACACACACACACACACACACACACACACACACACACACCTCTCCTCAGGTCAGTTGACTGGCCACACTTGTAATAGAGTCATTAGTCCCACATCCGGGATCTGTCCACACCTGAACTCTCTTACACACTGTGAATGACTGAGGCTCGACCACAGTCCAGATCTCTGAAGCAGAACCGCTGAACAGCAGGACTCAGAGGTTTGCTCCAGGCTCACTGGAAACGCCAGCTCTAGTACAGCAATGCATGACTGCTCTTCAGTCACACACTCTTCTTGCTGTGAGCAATGTGTGTGTGGAGACACATGAAGGCCGTACTTTGCAAACGAATGGCCAAAAGTGAGTTTCCTTGTGTGTGTTGTATGTATCACTTCAACAAAACTGTTTGTTTAATAGCTGATGATAGCACTAGACAGTCACACATCAGATTTCATCAGACATTTAATGATATACAAAATAAATCTCAAATATTTACAATTTTGCAGTATGCAGTATTTACAATTTCCACAATATGCAATTTTGTTATGCATGCATGGAATACCCAATAACCTACCACAATTGAGAAGCCCCCGTGTTGAGGGAAGTTCCTTTTAAAAGTAATGCATTACAATATTGCATTACTCCCTAAAAAAGTAACCAATTGTCTTGTAATTGTTACTTCTCATGGAGAGTAATGGCTTGCATTACTTTTTTCTTATCAGGACTGGGCTTGCTTGTTTTTTAACAACAATAACAACAAAATAGTTCTATTTTTGGCAAATTTAAAGGCCCTTTCTCTAGCCTGACGCCGTCATAGTCTAGTCTAGTCAGAATGTGAGTCTGCTCCATTGGGCTGTGATTATGGGGTGTTTCAACCCAACCAGGGAATGCCTCTGCACTCAATTGGATAGACCTACAACCAATCAGAGCAACGGAGTAATGACGTATGTTGAATCCCGTAGGAAGGACGGCAAAAACATCTTTCAAATGCCTTGATCGCGGTTCTCTGTTCCTCTTCTAAATGAATGCGCTGTCTACATCTTCTATAACAGACGCGATGGCTGAATCTACACATCTCAGTTCTCCAGCGGCGGCCATCTTTGTTGTAAACGAATTCAACCCAAGCGCTCTTTGGTGACGTGGATGATTACGTTACAGTTGATCATCTGTCCATCAGCGCATAAAGGGCCCTGACACTTTGATTGGTCCGAACAGCTCTGGGTCGAGTATAGTTGCTCCACAACGGATCAAGTCCAGACCGAACTTCCCGAGCTCAGATGTTGTGGGCGGGGCTAAGCTCGGCTGGCAGACCCATGCCTGTACAGAAGAGGCCGCCGCTCAAATAAACCTTTCAGATGTGCTGCCATTCTGGAGAGAAAGTCCAGCATTATTACTTCAGCGATAAAAGCAGAGAATAAAACACAAATGTGGTTAAAAGTAATGTTTTGCTTATAATTATTGTTGAATTAGATCATCGAAGGGCAGCAGCAAAGACATTGCTTAATAAAGTGAGATTAAATACATAAAGTATATTTGTGTAATTAAACATTTAATTATTGCAGCTTTACATAATGTTGTGTGTTTGCATTTCATTGTTTTTTGCATTTTGAGGAATTCTGAATCTTTTTTTTTTTGTTCAAGAGAGATGAGTAAATGCATGCTCACATTTAGTAGATCTTCAATAACTGATACGAATGTAAGAACTGATAATGTATCAGTATGATGTATGATAATGAAGAATGTAAGAACTGATAATGTATCAGTATGATGTATGATAATGAAGAATGTAAGAACTGATAAGAATGTAAATGTGAACCTTGAAAGTCGCTTTGGATAAAAGCGTCTGCCAAATGCATTAATGTAAATGTAATAACCATCATGTTCACACACAGCGCACACAACTACGTATACTTGTACAAATAAATGAGTTTCCATCATGAAACTCAGCCCTAATAATATAAAAAGCCGTGCTTCATTGTGAATGTGTCTTTGCTCTCGACAGGAACTTCTGTGCTTACGTCGTTCAGAAGAACGTCACCTGTGTGATGCAGGATGGAGTGGCCACATACGTCAAGCCGGAGTACACTACCAAGTGCATATGGGGACAGAAGTGTCCTGTGCTCATGTAAGTCATGCACTGACAATCTGGAATGGAATAAAATGTAGAGGGATTTTAGTTTTAGAACAAAATATAGTTTCAAATGGGTGTTTCATTTTCAAAATAGCAGGAGAAAGATGGTCTCAAACATGTTATACTTTCCATGGTGTCCTTGAGTTGCCCTCTAGTGGACACTCAGAATACTGTGCAAATCTAGTGAAACTGTTTTATATTGCATGTTTTTAAACTGGAATACACTGAAAAAAGTGAAAAGTGCTTTTCTATATTAGTTTAATTGAAAATCATGTTTTTTTCAGCTTGTCTAAAAGCAAATGACACAGCAACCACATAGAAACAGTTAAGAGGAAACTCTAGTATTTTAAACAGTGCTGAAGTGCAGAACACATTCAGCTTTACTGACTGCAGAAATGACTGTGAGTTATATTCATCTTTCTGTCTTGTGTTAGTACATAACAGAAAATATGATTCCTATTTAAAAAAGAAATCACAATAAACATTAAGATCTTTTAAAGTTGTCTTTTTTTATATTAGGTAAACTAAATGAAACATTAACCAACAAAATGTTTTTAGTTTTATCCCATGCATGTGGAAATTCTACTTTCATATTAATTTAGCTTTTGTTTATGGTGAAATTATTATAAGTTGTAAGAAGCCAAAAGATAATGATATTGACCTACTTTAAGTAACATTTGACTTATGTCTAAAGTATTGATTAAATTATATAATAAATAGATCTGATTATATAAACAATATATTAAGTATGGTATGGTCTTTAATAATAAATAATATTTTTACTTTCTATTCATCTTTTTGTCTTTAGGGTTTTTGCCTCAAAATTATATTTATGGCTTTTATTCAAACAAATATTTAATTCTGATTAAATATTAATAAAAAGTTGTTCTTTTCCCAATCAATTTGGCTGTATTTGTCACACTTTGGTTGCAGCAGAGATGAAGCAGGATCTAGCGCAGCAGAAACAAACTCAAATCTTCACATAACACTCGAGAACAGGAACAGAACAACCAAATTAACACGACGTAGAGCTGAAAATGAACTAAAAAGAGAAAGTGAAACACCTGTGAAAACTTAATCAAACAAATTGTAAGCTAGGAGACTAACCGCAGGAGAACAGAGGATGACAGGACTGATAAAAAGAACAAGAAGACCAACCTTAGAAACAGAGATGAACAGAACAGAAAATGATATCAAAAGCAAACTCTACGCATGACCAAACTCAAAACGTGACATTAACAAATTAGAGTTGGTTTTAATTTGGTCCAATATATATATATTTCCAGTGTATAATCGGCTGCATGATCACGGTCATGCCTGAATGTCAGTGAGTAAAAGCCCTGAAGCTGATCTCGATGTACAAGGCGGATGGAGAAGTGTGAAGTGACGTTCAGCGTGTTTCCCCCGCAGGTATCGGACGCTCTTCAAACCACAGTACAGAATCGGTCATAAAACCATCACTGAACTGGAGTGGCGTTGTTGCCCCGGCTTCTCTGGAGAAAACTGCTTTGACGGGTCGACCTCTGACCCGGATGCCGTGATGCCACCCTTCAAGGGCTCGTTCCCTCGGCCCGGGGTCAAGGGTTACCCCAGGGGTCACCCCAAGACCCCCTTTCCTGGAGGACACCCCGACAACAAACCCATCCCTAGTGGGTTCATACCAAGCTATGGTACATGCAAGTTACACGTCTCACCATTAGCAGTTTGATTATTAATGTGACATGGACACTTGCGTTAATATTTGGGTAAAATATAATCGTAATAAATAGATTATTACAAAGTTATAATGTTTACAATAATAATTAATTTAGTGCTGGGCAACGATTAATCGCATCCAAAATAAAAGTTTGTGTTTGCATAATATATGTGTGTGTACTGTGTGCAATCATTTTGTATATATAAATACACACACATAAACATGTATATATTTAAGAAATATTTGCATGTACTGTATATATATATATATTTACACATAATTTATATCATATATAAATATTTTATATATAAATAACCATTTTTTCTTAAATATATACATGCGTGTATGTGTGTTTTTATATATTCAAAATAATTATACACAGTACACACACAGCAAAAACTCCAGTGTTAAATTAACTCTCCTGGGAGTTTATATGACTCCACACTCAAGAGTGTTAAATTAACACTGAAGCAGTGTTAAAGTTAATGAGATAATTAAGTGATTAATTGAGTGATGATTGACCAAAATTGAAGAAGTAGAATCACTGAAGGTGAAAAAAAATCACAATTTTAAGTCACCATTATGGATATTAGTGTTTGTTTCAGTTGGGCAGTTAACTCTTACATTTTTTACTTTAGATTTTGTTTGGCTGTTGTAAGAGCATTATAACTGCCAGATGAACAAAGAGAAAAGATGATCTAATGGTGTTGGTTATTAGGGGTGGAGCCGAACCCGAATACGGTATTCGGAAAGGTACAAATAATGTGTTTTTTACGAATAGTTATTTCGAACAAATACTTTAAAAAATATTTGTATTCGGGAACAAGAAAAACTTTATATCAAAAAGCTGGGTTACACTTTATTTCGATATTCACTTTAGACATTCTACTAACTATAAGTAACTTTTCAACTACATGTCAACTAACTGTCATTAGAGTATTAGACTGTAGGAGACTGTCAATAGACTGTTAGGTTATGGTTAGGTGTTAGGGTTCGGGTTAGGAGAACAAGTTGACTTGTAGTTGCGAAGTTACTTATAGTCAGTAGAATGTCTGTTGGGGGACCAACAAAATAAATCGTTAGCAGATATTAAGTAGACAGTCTTTTAATACTCTAATGACAGTTAGTTGACATGTAGCTCCAAAGTTACTTAAAGTTAGTAGAATGTCTAAAGTGGACTATCAAAATAAAGTGTTACCACAAGCTGCGTTTCCTCACGAGACCGCAGTGCGTGCAAGGATGAGTGAGTGAGAGTGAGTGTGTGACGTTCAGGAAGAGGTGACTGACACAGGCTGCTCCACACAGCAACAGAGAGGGCTCGGCTGAGCGAAAAAACACTTAACTGCATCACTATTTTTGTTGAATAGATTTTTGTACCTTAACTGGGTTCCGGAGGTAGTTTAGAACTTTCGGGAAGCGGAGTTTGATCGGGAGATTATTCCATTACGCTGCATTATTGACGTCTGCAGTCGGGTGCTCTCATGTTCGCTCTGTTTACGTACGTTCGGTTAAAAAATGCTTCTGTAGTTGTGTCGAATTGTATGCACTTGTGGGAGTTATATGGTACGCAGACATCCCAAGTCTCTATTGATAGCGGCTCCTTGAAATTAGTTAAAATCTCCCTGAATCTAACGCGCATGCGAGACAGAACATACTGTGCTCCAAACTGTGTTAGCGCGCGCACGGAAGAGAGCTGAGAGCGAGAGACCTTGCTTGTGTGCGTTATGAAAGCTAGTCACCCCCCGTCACCAATCCAGTCAACTCCAAACTAGATTTTTAGGCCTATTTTGAATTTTACTCGAATACGAATACAAATACAAATACTTTTCCCCCCTCAACAAATACAAATACAGATACAAATACCGGCTGCTTTGCACACCCCTATTGGTTATGTTTTAACAAAATCATCAGTTGATCTGAATCACTGAACTAATTTAGAGCCTAATCTCTGACTTAAATGTATATTGTTGTTGATTACAGCATCACAGTGATTCTACAGCGTAAGATCCAGGATTTTTTATACAATTCAAATGCTTTCTTAAAAGTTGTTCTGATAAAAAAATCTTTCTTTTAGGCACTCACAGACATCAATAATCAGTGTATGAATCTCAACAATGGTGACAAACAGAATATTCAATTAGGAAAAGGAAATTACTAAGACAATTCAGATTATAATTGATTCATACTGCAATGCATGATGGGAGCCATGAATGAGTTTTGATTGGTGGAGCCCATAATGCACTTGAACATGCTTTATTATTGTCACCATTGTTGAGATTCACAGGCTGATTATTGATGTCAGTGTCTAAATAAAATAACTCTTTTGATCAGAACAAATTTTAAGAAGTATTTTGGATTATATTGAAAGTGCTGAAAAACGTTTGCAATAGAATTATGGTGTTGCTGTAATCAACAAGGTAAACCTAACGCTCTAAATGAGTTTTGTGATTCTGGTCAAACGATGATTATGTCAAACCATAACCAATACCACCTGATCACCTTTTCTCTTAGTTCATCTGGCAGTTGTAACTCAGTTACAACAGCCAAACTAAATCTAATGTTAATAGTTTAAGGGTCAAGAGGCCAACTAAAGCAAACAATGATCACCATAATGGCGACTTCGAAAATAAGATTTTCTCCTTCAGTGATTCTGCTTGTTAACATCAGGTGTCTTCAATGATGGTCAATCATCATTCAATTAATCACTTAATTAGCTCATTAACTTTAACACTCTTGAGTGTTAATTTAACACTCATATTTTAACACTTTAACACTCTTGAGTCTGGAGCCAAATAAACTCCCAGGAGAGTTAATTTAACACTGGAGTTTTTGCTGTGCATACATATATTATATAAACACAAACTTTTATTTTGGATGCGATTAATCGTTGCCTAGCACTAAATTATAAGCTTTTATTAGTGAACCCCCTGAAGTTCCTTCACTAACGCTTTTCTAATTTCGTAAATTTAGATTGTAAAGGTGTAAAAGTTTCTCACTTCTTCCAAGGTCCAAAGGCGGGAGTCTCTGGTGAACGCTTGGACCGCATAGAAGAAAATCTTCGTAGACTCAGTCAAGATCTGGACACGTTGAACGGCCTGGTGTCTGGCATGGAGGAGCGTCTGCGCGTCTCTCTGCGAGAGGACACCAGGAAGATGCTGAGCTCTCTGCTCGGTGGCGCCCCCCGGCTGCTGGACACCTCTGTGGGCTTCGGGCTGATCCCAGAGGGCACGCCAAACGGTTTGGACGGCGACGAGAACCTCCCTGGTTTTGGAGAGTTGGTGGGAAATGTGATGGAGGTCAGAGATGAGCTGAAGGTCAAGAGCGAGATGCTGGACGAGATCCGTGGAATGGTGATGGGACACGATGGCCAGTTAAAGCGGCTGATAGACACTGCCACTGGGAGACCCATCCCTGGGGATCAGCGGCGCCTAGAGGAACTCCTGGACTCCAGGCTGGCCGGAGTGAGGGCCGATGTCCTCGATGGCTTTGAGAGGAGACTGACGGGTCTGGAGAGTCACTGTGATGAGAGGATTGGTCAGGTGAGTCGATCACTCAACTTCTCACCAGGAATAAGTTGGACCGTTGAGCATAATGGCATTTGTTTTGTTGGTTCTAATTCAAGTCGGCATGAAGCGGAAATTGCCACTAGTTTAATTTTTGCAACTAATGTTTCATACATGAATTCTGTGTCAAAGTGCAGCATTGCAAGCAGGCATTAAAAACTAACCTAAGAATTACTACTCTTTAGAGATACTAGATGATGAAATCAAAGCAATATTCAATCATGCATTGAATCATGCATCTATTACGCAGTAGCAAACTCACACTCTCTCAGTATGACTCATGCAGTCATTTTTAAATACGTGCACTGTAGGGTCTAGTGTTTAATTTCTCAGCTGTTACATTCACTTAAGTCTGTTCTCAGCTGTTAGTCCCCCTGTGGTGAAAATCAAACATTTAAAGTTGTTTATAATAATAATTCATTACATTTATATAGCGCTTTTCTGGGTACTCAAAGCACTTTACATGGAAGGGGGAATCTCCTCAACCACCACCAATGTGCAGCACCACCTGGATGATGCGACGGCAGCCATATTGTGCCAGAACGCCCACCGCACACCAGCTTACTGGTGGAGAGGAGACAGTGATGAAGCCAATCAGTATATATGGGGATGATTAGGAGGCCATGATGGACAGAGGCCGAGGGGCAAATTTGGCCAGGATGCCGGGGTTACACCCCTACTCTTTTTCGAAGGACATCCTGTGATTTTTAATGACAAAGAGTCAAGACCTCGGTTTAATGTCTCATCCCAAGGATGGTGCTCTTTGACAGTATAGTGTCCCCGTCACTACACTGGGGCGTTAGGACCCACATAGACCACAGGGTGAGCGCCCCCTGCTGGCCTCACTAACACCTCTTCCAGCAGCAACTCTTCCCAGGAGGTCTCCCATCCAGACACTGACCAGGCTCAGCCCTGCTCAGCTTCAGTGGGTGACCAGTCTTGAGCTACAGGGTGATATGGCTGCTGGATGTTTATATGTCTATGAGGTGTTTTTAATATGTTTTAAGACAAATTATGTGTAAATTCATAAGTCGACAGCATTGCTGAGTATTTTCTCCTTAAAACTGCAGTGAACCAAAGACAGTCTCAAGAACACGGTTTGAAATCGCTGGTGTTTCTGACGTCATAAACTACCCTGTCAAAAGTCTACAAAAGTTGCTGTCCATTTGCCTTTGCCGCCATCACTGCTGCAGCTTCTACGACAACGTACACAATAAGCTGCTTCTTCTTTGGCTTTTGCCTTGATACCGTGTGTTACACCCTCAACATGCCCGTGGACACTGCCTACTAGTGGTCTGCATGTGTAATTGCACGTCAACACAGACAAAGATGCAGAAGTATAAATGAAAACGACCCATAGCTTACGGCGTAGGTCTAAAGTATAAATCAGCCTTAAGCGCTTGACTTTCTGGGCGAGTGCATTGTATGTTTGTGCACTGTAAACTTCTTGTCCTGTAATAATGTAGGGAACCACCCGCTGTACATTAATCACCTAACAGTTTAAGTTTTACATACATATAATATATATGAGTTAGTTTTAATCCAAATGACACGTGTGCTGAGTGAGCGATCAGCAATCAAGAGAAGTGCACATGCTCTCTCTCTCTCTCTCTCTCTCTCTCTCTCTCTCTCTCTCTCTCTCTCTCTCTCTCTCTCTCTCTCTCTCTCTCTCCCTCTCTCTCTTTCTTTCTCTCAAATCCGACAGAACTACATACTTTCCAGTGATGTCTGTGAAAAAGGGATGTGCTCTTGACAAGCTCAATCCACTCCGCGCTCCGTTTATTAGCGTACGCACACCAGCTATATAGGCGTAAATATTTAAGTTGTTTAACATTCTATTAATTCGATAGATTTACTTCATATATCCTTCTCTGATTTATCCATTCTGCTCTCTGTTTGCTCGGTTGTCAGTGTTTCTTTGTCACAAGCATTGTACTGTACACGCTGTGCGGTTGTTGGTATCGGAGCATTTTAATGAGTACGAGTACACAAGTGCAGTATCGAACCTTATATATATATATATTCCTGGTATTAATATATAAGTACAGACTAGGATTCATTAATCTAAGGCCTGGTTTCGCAGACAGGGCTTAGATTAAGTCAGGATTAGGCCTTTTTTAGTGCATTTAAGTAGCTTTTATAAACGTGTCTTAGAAAAAATAACAACTGGCGTGCATCTTGAGACAAAACAATGGCACTGATATATTTTAAGATTTGCCAGTGCAAGTTGCTTTCAGTTAAAACAGCTCAAACCTGCATTTTAGTCTTGGACTAGGCTTAAGCCGAGTATAAAGAATTTATTTAGCATTCAAATTAAACTGAATATAATATAAGTTCTTAAGGCAGAGCATAATCAGCTATGACACAACATTTATTCTGTTTGAAAGAACATTTTCCTGTGTCCTGTCCTTAGGTTCAGCAGCAGTGTCATAACGAGCACTTAACAGGTCAAGAACAGATCCAAGTCTCCCTGGATGGCCGAGAGACGGGCTTGAGGAAAGAGCTGGGTGAGCTGCAGGCACAGATCCTGGGTCTGACGGTGACCGAGAGCTGCTGCGGTGAGATGAACAGCCTGACCCAAAGGATGTTCCAGCTGGAGGACTCAGTTACGGGCCTGACCGAGTCCCAGAGGCAGCTACAAGTGGACATGACTGAGCAGACGCTTCACATCGAGACCCTACTGGAGAGCCGGATGGTGGACATGGAGGGTAGGATCAATGCCTCTGAACATGGACACCAAGATGGGTTCAGCTCCCTGGATGGGTTCAAGACTTTGTTAGACGATAAGCTGAAGACATTGGAGCGACGTCTGTTCGTAGCGGTGGAGGAGTTGAGCAACGCCACGGCACCGGCGCTGCTAGAGGGGCAAGTGGTGCCAGCACTGGAGACGGAGATCGACAGTGTTCGGAGGAGGGTGGAGGCCGACCTGGATGGGATGCAGAAGCAGATGTCCGTCCTCGAGCTCCTCTGCACCTCTGCTTGCTCCCCTGCCTCTAGCCCGGACACGGCCCTCATCCAGACGGAGGTAGAAGACTGCAAGGAAACAGAAAAGAAGATGATGGACCGCCTGGACGTGCATTCAAGAAAACTGGACCATCTCAACAGCACCTTACTGGGTCTCCTAACACAGCTGTCCCAGGAGGACAAAGAGGGCTCTATTCAAGGGGAAATCACACTCCTGAAGATCAATGTCAACTCCGTCAATCGTACCTTGAAGGGTCTACGGGATTCAGTCAGCCTGTTTGCTCGAGAAGTCGGCAAAGTGAACTCCACGTGGGAGGAACGGGAAAGCCGTTTGGTCACTCAGGTGCAAGGCATCTCGGATCTGGTGGAGCGGCAGGGGTCCATGCTTGGGTCCGGGGAGCAGAGGCTGATCCAGTTGAAGGGGGAACTCCAGAGCTTGCGGCGGAGGTTAGCCGGGGAACTGCAGGGTTGTCGAACCACAACGCTGGGAATGCAACAGGAGGTGATGGGGGTGGAAAGCCGAGTCACCCAGGTTGAAGGACAGTGTGGCAGCCTAAGTGAGTTGGCCGATGACCTTGAGAGAATCCGCAGTGAGCTGGAAAGACATTCGGACAGCTTCCTGGAACAGGTCAGCGGGACACTAGAAAGCCATTCTGAGCAGCTGGTCCAACTGAAGGACGGCCTTAAAGACTGCATGAGCAAAACGGACCCCGCAAGGGGTGACGGTCAGTAATCCTTCCTCTACAGAGAAACCACAAGGCCTGAGGTTGTACAAACTTGCAATATTTGTGTTCCCTCAACAGGGCATGTTGTCTCCTATTATTTGTTTTAAGCCTTTATACCGAGTTTTGTTAACTTATATGAAGAAAGTGTGACTGCATTATTAAACATATTTGACGATTTGTTAAATGAAGTAACAAACATGCAAAACACATGAAAGCGAATGTTATGACACTACTAAGTTGCCACGGGTCTCTGGCAAGTACTGTTCACTACCTTCTCATCTCAGCATCCAAGTCATCTCCTGATTTAATTACTGTATCATAACACTACGAAGCTACACATTTTTTATAAAAGTTTGATGAGTGTGAAATAGTTTGTTTTAAAAATATATTTCGCATTATTGAAATGTTTTCTAAGAGATTATAATTTTTCATTAATAAAAGCGAATTGTGTGAACTGAAGAAAAAAGTTTGTCAACTATTTCCTTTATATTCTGATTATTCTGATGGATCATTTGTGGAAGTTCCAGTAATGACCACCCAGTGTCATCAAGAACAAACTAATGAAACTGAGGCCATAAAGGGATAATGGACTCTTATTATTACAAAATAAACCCAATTTGACATTCATGACAAGCTAAATGCCAGGACACGCTGGGGGGATTATGTCTCCTGGCTGGCCTGGGAGCGCCTCGGTATTCCCCCGGAAGAGCTGGAGGAAGTGTCTCGGGAGAGGGAAGTCTGGGCATCTCAGCTTAGACTGCTGCCCCCGCGACCCTGCCCCGGATAAGCAGAAGAAGAAGACAAGCTGAATGGACATTCATATGCTGAATACGTGGTGAATTACCAAATAACTGGACACAAAATATTTAGTTATAGTTTAGTTATTTAAATTATTAAATTATTTTATTAAATGAGAACAGTGTTGTGCGAGACATGAAACTAGCACCGGTCATGTAGGTTAAATTGTTTGCATGTATAGAAAGTGGTCAATACTGTTCAACAGTCATCATACTGAAGTATCTATTCCAGAGAAATATTTTATGTTCATCGTATTAATGATCAAATGTTATGCTATACACAAATAAATCTTTCATATTCGTATCCATATATGATTAATATTCCAACCCATTTTCTTTTATACTGGGTGAACATTATTTTATATGCTAATACAGACACAAGCATCTGTTTGACTGTATTTTTTACTTTTCTACATTTCATGATAACCATGTGATAATATCTTCAGGTTTAAATATTCATACTCATTGCATTGTGAGGAAGACAGATAACATGAATGTAGACAAACATACTTTGTATATTTTTCATGAGGGCATTGTTTGTAGTGTTTTGGCCTCAGAGACAGATACAATCCGTCCCTGAGCTGTTCTGTAAAAACACCCACTATTGTACCAAGGTCATAGCTGTGTGTGTGTGTGTTGGATAAAAGAACAAAAAACAAATAAGTGGACTTTTCTGACATCAAAAGCTATAATTTTATTGAGCACACACACACACACACACACACACACACCTAACCCTGGTCTGGATGAATGTGAGTTCCCTTTTGAACGGGAACTTGCACTGCGTCCTACAACGTTTTGGGAAACGCCTCCAGCGTGACCGGTGTTCGAAGCACGTGTCTAAACTCAACAATAACGTGACGACAGTATCGGTGCGACCAGAGAATAAAAGGGCTCCTGGAGTAGCCTACACACCAACAATTTCTTTTGTCTTCAGGATCCATGTACATGTGAAGACAATCACTCAGCCAAGCGTCTCAGGAAGTACAGTATGTGCCTCTGTATCAGAGCTGGTGGGCGGAGCTGCTATCCGATCTGCTATTACTAATGTGTGAGGCCTAATTCTGTGGAATTAGATGCAGAGAGAGTGAAGACAGGTGTTATTTTTTAGATCTGCCCCTCTGCTGGCCCGCACAGTAGCAGTGCTCGTGGTGGCGATCTCTGGAACCCGACAAGAAACGTTTATTTGCCCCTAGTTTGCGAACCCTTCCTAGTTGTAGGCACCTTCGTGGGTGTTGAAGTCCAGAGAGGTCGTTTTTCCTCTGGTTCGACTGAAGAACTGAACTCTCCCCCTGAGTCGGGTCTTGAAGCAGTCTTTCAGTCCCTGGGACGAGCTCCTTCAATCTCGAGAACCTGACAGAAAGTGGGTTTTTAACCCCATTTAGCGAACCCTTATTTATAGTAAGGCACCTTCAGGAGTGAAGTGTTGTTAGGCCTCCTCTCGCTCTAGAGAGTCATCCTGCTAAGGCCTCTGCTGCCAAGAGCTGTGCTTGGATAGCAGTATCGAGTTGTCAGGCTCTTTTGTGAGCCTCCTTGGTAAGCAGTCCTTAGTGTAGAGTGTAGTTAGGCTTCCTCTTGCAATAGAGGGTCGTTATTAGGGTTGGGTACCGAAACTCGGTGCCAATAGGGAACCGGTTCCGACGTAAACGGTAGTAACCAGACCGAATAAGAACGAAAATTTCGGTGCCTGATTTCGGTGCCTAACTTCATTAGGCACACACGCACACACAAGGTCTCTCGCTCTCTCCCTCTCCGCCGTGCGTGTGCTACACAGTTTGGAGCACAGTTTCTTCTGTCTCGCATGCGCGCTCTTTCTCGCAAGGTTTGGCTGCATTTCACGTGTAAAATTACGTGTCAGAACGCCCTCTGGGTGTGCCGATAGTCTGAATCCCATATAGAATCAAGCCAATTCATTGGCTGATGGCGCGGGCGCCGCATCGACGCACTTACGTCGTGATATTATGTTGGCGCGCGCGCGCCATCTGCTCCTCTGATTTCTCTGCCGAAAAAGGAAGCTGGTCGGCAGCGCGAGGAGCTTGGCAGCGTCCCGTTCCCTATTGAGAGATATGTTACACCAGTAACCAGAGATGTTCTCTTTCATAGGTTCACTCAACGCTGCGTAGCTAAGAAGCAGTGGATTTGTATTTGTAGGCTGCTGTATCACGTGCCGTTTGAACTGACGCGCTACAGCGATCTGTCACATTTCAATGAGCCAAAACGTTATTTATTGTGTGAATCTCGTAAAAATATTGACAGAATCTGACAGCTGTGGATTTGTTCCATATCAAAAGTAACCTTCTCTGTCTTGTCTGTCCGTGTCCTCTTTGTCCGCGATTTTTCTGTGTGAAAAGGGTCATTTGCGTGAGTCTCACGGTCAATGCGTGAGAGTTGGCAGCTCTGCCTGCTAGTAATCTCTATTAATTCTCCAGTATTATTACATTGTTTGATACAATATTGTTTCATTTGATATTATGTAAATATGAATTTTTATTTTATATTGGTTTTATTATTACCATATGTTACTTGTATTTATATTGTTTAAAGATTTAAGTTAATATTGTGTCCAGTTTGGCCCTGTAAATTAAAGGGTATTATTTTTTGATAACGTGTGTGCGGTTTCATTTTCTTAAGTACCGATTTAAGAACCGTTTAAGCACCGGAACCGTTTAAAAAATACCGAGTAGGTACTGGAATCGGATAAAAAACAAACGATACCCAACCCTAGTCGTTATGCTGAAGCCTTCGCTCTGGGAGATCCGTGGAGGCAGTGGACGAACTTTAGGCTCAAAAAAGAGCCCACAACCCAAAGTTTCAAGTTTGTTTTATTTAGCACATTTAAAAACAGCAAACACAGCTGACCAAAGTGCTGAACAACACATAAAACGAAGAAACAAAGGGCAAACCACACATTCATGACAGAAGCTCACAGTGAATTGAAAGCCAAGAAAAAAAAAAATTTTGGTTTTAAGAGACGATTTAAAAACAGTTAGGGACTATGCCCATCTGATATACGCCGGAAGGCTGTTCCACAGCGTAGGGCCGGCAATGGCAAAGGCTCTATCTCCTCTGTGCTTTAATCACGGTCTGGGCACAGAGAGCAGTCTCTTATCACCGGACCTCAGATTTTGTGTGGGGTTGTGTAGAGTAGCTCAGACAAATAGCTTGGTGCCAGACTATTTAAAGGTGGGATATGTGATTTGGAAAATGACCGGCAGATTTTGAAAATACACAATTCAAATGGTCCTACCTTCTTTCCTCCAACGCTGGCCCTAACTGGGTCACGCACGCTGGGGGGAGGGGGGTATGCTAAGACCGTTTGATTGACTAACTTACTGTCCAATGATTCTAGGTGGTCTTGGAAATGATTGGCTGGAGTTTTTCGAGTCCTGCCTGTTGCACAGATGATTAAATTGCTTAATTTTCATTTCAGTGCTTCTAACTCAGTGGATGTAAGTGGGTTAGGAATAGGATTTCAAGTTATTTTGAAAAAATGGACAAAAAAGAGAATCACATACCCCACCTTTAAGGATTTAAAAAAAATAAAGAATTTTAAACTCAATTCTAAAATGCAGGTAGCTAATGCAGAGATTTTAAAATTGGAGTAATGTGATCAAATTGATGTTTGCCTTTGAGGAATTTTGCAGCCTCCCTGATCTTGTCTTCAAGGTGGGCTTTGCTAGTCTTCCTCTCGCTTTAGAGAGTCATCTTGCTGAGACCTCTGCTCTTAGAGCTCGTTCAGGGTGGCTATGCCCGGTCGTATGGCTCTCTGTGAGCCTCCTTGGCGTACCACCCTTAGGGAAGCGTTGTTAGGTTGCCCTAGGAAATAGAGTCACTAATAGAGTCCGCTGGTGCGTACCATCTAGGACAGGGAATGGTGACTCTGGACTTAGCTCTATGGAGTCATTAATGTTATGTCAGCTGTTACGGCATTCATTCCTTCAGCATGGCATGTGAGTATGTGTACCCAAAAGCGTCCTAGGATGCAGTTTCAGTTCCCATTCAAAAGGGAACATCTTGGTTAAAAATGTGTCCCTAGTTCCCTGAGAAAGGGAACGAGACACTGCGTCTCGTTGCCATGCTTCGAGTATGCCTGCACAGGTAGTGAGAGCATAGGCTGTCACTGGCCGATGTTATTGTTGCGTTGACAAGTGCTTCAGACACCGGTCAATGCTGGAGGCATTCCCCAAAGCGTATAGGATGCAGTGTCTCATTCCCCTTCTCAGGGAACCAGGGTTACATTTGTAAACAAGACGATTGAAAATGTTGTCCCAGTCCTGGTCCTGGGGTTAGCTCACATATAGTTGCAAAATAGGTAGTAGAATGTCTAAAATGGACGATCGAAATGAAGTGTTACCAAATATTTTTAAATAGTAATTATACAAATGCAGTGTATGATACAGTACATGCACAAACAGCCACATCCCATCAAGCTCTAAAACTGCTGTTTCAATTCCTTTTCTGTTCCCAACATAAGCGGTCCATTCAGAGCTCCCATTCCTTTGAATTGAATTCATTCATACTGCTTCCTGTTTGACACAATCACCATCTTTGTATTTCTGCTGCTCGTTGAGTCTCTGCAGCTGTCTGTTGAAAAGAAGCAGATGAGTGCTAAACATGGGGAGCGTTATTTTTAGGGGAGGACAAAAATGCCAATTCTGTTTCAGTTTAGCGTCTGATGAAAAGGCAGTTGGGGCTGGATGATATGTGAATGGAAAGTTCAGCGCACTTTAGTTAAAACGTAAGCATGAAATAAAAATGGACTATTAACATTACTTAACACACTTTATTGGCACAATTCATCAGTGCAAAAGAAGGAAACAATTGAAAAAAATGATGTCACTGAGCCCTCTTTACTTTACAACCCCAAACATCTGTCCCATCCCTTGTTTCTCATTGAAGATCCTGTAATATTTACATTATAAGGTTAAAAGTGAGTCCTCCGAGCATTACTTGAGTGCAGATGTCTCTTAGTGTTGATCACTTGTTGATCACTTGTAGGTATAATGCAATGAAAGACATTGTGAAAGACATTGTGTGCAATGAAAGACAAGTGACTGAATCACTCAAACATAAGGAGATATTGCTTAAACTTATTTTATTGGTGTACTTCAGTCATTTCAACAATGATAATAGCAAAAAAAGATCAGACGTCATGGAAAGTGTCTCTACTCAAATATATGTTCATACACAAACACTAAGGCCGAGATGTGTTGTCCGAGTGGCAGATGGCTTCACTTCAAGGAGACCGGGTCTCCTTATAATGGACGACAGCATCTTATCTTCTCATAACATTTCAATTGTCTTGATATTATACAAATAATGTTAAATGTTTTTCATTTTGAGATTGATGCAGAGGTTTGGTCGACAAAAGACCTTTCAGTAAGACATAAATATGATAATGTTATAAGAGGAGCTTCTTCATCATCACAAATAATCCTGAAACAGTATTTAAGGCCTGGTATGATAAAAAAAAAGAAACAAATGTTGGAGTGAATAGAAAATACATGGCATTCACAGAGAGGTAAATGGCACCAAATCATTGTCAGACTAAATGGCTCCAAACTCTTTCTTAATAGTAAATCAATCTTTTTAGTTCCTTTATATGACACCTTATGCTCCTAAACACACTACACAAATGCACAAGTGAAAAAACACATTAACATATTTAAATATATTTGCTTATAAAAAATAAAAACATGATAACATTGAATAAATTAACAGGTGTTAAGGCAGCCAGTTGTTCAAGGTACGGGTTAGTGCCGTCCCTGTCATTTCAACTGGAGCTGAATGGGTGATAGAGGAGTGTGCCAATGACGGGACCTTGAGCGCCCTATCTCTGATTCAAGACCAGTATTGCATTTTCTTTGATGTGGAAGTTAAATCAACCCAGCAGCTGCAAGAAACTTTTGATTCTGCAAACATTTTCCTTACACTAAACAATGAAATGGAAACCCATAATGAATGCTAATCATACTTTGGAACCAAGGAATCAAATACTGTTGAAATCCTGTAAAAAAAAATAAAAAAATAACGAAACAACTCTATTGAAATATTTGGGAATGTTCAAATCCATATATGATTCGTAGAGAATTCCTATTTGACGATTAGATGCGTTCCCGCCATGTCACAAACTATTCTGCAAAACCATTCAAGTCCTCGTGGAGCTCGAAATTAGCCTACAACTTGTATGCTCGGAATTTTCTGAGAGCTCCTACTTGTACCCCCTGACCGTTGTAGGTTCATTTACACATTGATAGTGTTGCAATAGAAACACATAATTCCCAGGTGTTAACAGCTCAGAGTAGACGGGTTGTCATCTCGAAATGACGGTAATTACAACCCGATCTCACAGCAATTCGTACGAATTTTACGAGGTGGCTAATTCGTACGACCTCACTCATATACGAATTCGTACGATTTTTGAAAAATCGTACATATTTTACGAATTGGCCAATTTGTATGAATTCGTACGAATGACCTACACCTGACACCCGCTCCTAAACCTAACCGTCACGTGAGCTAAGACAAATCGTACGAATTTAAACGAATTTGTACGAACTAGCCACCTTTTACTCCTCACTCGTTCGAATTCGTACAAATTGGTCACGAGATAGCGTTGGTAATTACGACATGGCGTGAACGCAGCATTTGATTCCAAAATATTCCATTAGCAATACATTAATAGGGATTTTGAACTTATAACTGTGTCCTACACTGTAAACAAAAATCTGTAGTAAAGCAGAGGTACTGGCCAGTACATTACCTAGCATTTCCATATGGGCTAAACACCGGCGAATCAATACGGAGCATAGTGACTTTACTTCTGTATTTAGATGCACAACTCAGCAACAAATTACTCTTCCATGTAAAGTCTTTTTTTTTCCTTCCGTGCATTTTTTCTTCTTCTTTTTAAACCAAATTTGACAAGTGACAGGACATTTAGTTGGTAGCTTGGTTTTTACATGGACACAGTGTAAGAATATTAAGTGTTAGCTTTTATACGAGGTAAAAAGACCCCAAACATTGGCGCAGAACTCCACGAGCGTCAAACACGGAGAGAAACAAACATTAGAGAGAAGTGCTTGGAGCGCTAAACACGCTACATAGATAGCTTACGCTGCCGACATGGTCAATGAGGGTCATTAGTTTCAATCCCGTATAATTATCTGTTACGAGACAGAAGTAGCACAATACTAATGTCCGTGAGATCAGCACCATCGGTTATATGTGCGCTCAAGAACGGTCTCTCTAACCGTCTCCTCCTCTCGTGTCTTCATACGAAACAGCTGTCCATTCAGGTTAACAGCAAAAGACTTAGCCTCACATAAGAAACATATTTCAGTGCTTGTTTTTACATCACAGTTATCTTATCGATCTGTTTCCCTCAAAATAATCACAATTACAGTAAAACAATTAACTAAAAAAAACTAAAATGTTCATAAAAGAATGAATAAATATGAGGGCCAGCCTCTATGATTTGATGAATACACACAAACACACGCTCACAAATATGCATTACGAAGCCTCTTGATCTCTAAACGGCATAAACGCATGTATTGGGAATATACTAGTAAGATGGAATGAAAGCAAAGGGCCTCGTTCATGATTCATAAATGATTGACGCGGACATCATGTTTCAGAATCGAACGAAACACATTTATGTGCAAATTGTTCAGAATGTAATTTGCATTAAGGTCAATGTGACAAATTGAAGAATGTTTTTATGAATGATAAAGCAGAAACTGAGTCTGCTTTCATGAACGTATCCTGCGGCATCGTATATTTGAACGGTTTGCACGCAAATTCCTTATGCGTTTCTTGAAAGCAACCTGACGGATAAATATGAAAACTTTAGCAAAAATAGTTTCATTAATGATTTAGACCGAAAATCATTCTCGTGTTTCATGAAGGAGGCCCGAAGTGAGAGTGTTTGGTCTAATAAACTGGCTTCTTCAGCCAAATGTTTGTTCAAGTTTAGCTCAAGAGATTAACCGGTATAACACTCAGAATTAAGCAATGTCAATTGTTAGCTTTTTTAAAACTTAATAGCGCAACAGAGTTGTATCCCCTCACACACACACCCTTTGTGTCAATATGAGGTGAGTACACACATCCAGAGAGGCAGCACATATTTCTCCAAATGCAAAGCGTGTCAATGTGTTTGTAAAGGGCAGTGTGTGGGAAACACTCTTAAAATATCAACACAATGCAAGCAGGAACTAAAGGGAAAACCCCTCTGGGAGCACAAACCACAAAATGTTTGTTCGTCAGACAATCCAACTATTTTAAACGGCCTGCAGACCCACATAAGTACAGCTTGACAAATTTAAAAACTATCCAGTCAGCTGGTCCTTATCTACCTCCCATGGACATATTATCCCAGTGTACAGAGCGAAATACCTGATCGCTCAGGCGAAAGCGCATTCTGCTGGCTTGTGTACGGCTTGGGTTTGTTAATGATCCCATTGTGTGGCTTTTAGTCCATGTCTATTAGCTCTGAAATGCTGGTGTACTCCTGAGAGTTGAAAAAATTCACTTGCATTAATGCATTAAAATGGCAAAACTAATGATGACTAATCTTGCGCTTATGGGCATGTCCAGTTTTTTGTTTAATCAAATGTCCCTCTCTCTAATACCATCTGTGATTCACATCTGTGAGATATACTAAAAGCTGCTGGCTATTTTTGTTTGTTTAAGGCATTTGATACGCCCGACAACCTGTTTTAGTGGAATATACATCAACACGTGAAAGAAAACTTTGCTTGTCAAGCCATGTCATGGGGTCATAATGTCAAGAATCATAATCTCTATTGTATGCGTTTGCCGGTAATAAGCATGTTTATATTGTACAGCTAAAAGGACTATGTGAGGTGTTCGTTTCCACACAAACGTGTGATGTTAGTAGCATCTACTGTGAGTATCAGTGCATGCTTATTTATTATACATTTAATAAATGTTTTTTTTTAGTTTTTATTAGTTTGATATTCTAACACACAGATCCAGCTGTGTTTGTTTCTGGCAGAGGAAAGGGCATAGTCCCCAAACCCTGCAATGGCTATTCTGAAGTGGTTTAGCATAACTGCCATCGACCTGTCCCACAACTTCTCTCGTTCCTGCTGTAAACATGTGACTTCCCCCTGGAGAAGTCTGATCAGAAGACACACCGCACCGTATCTGATCGGTCCGGCGAGGGAAAACCAGCGGATGGGGTTTGGGATTCCAGAACAGATCAATTTACATGATAGACAGACAGTGGATGAGTGACAAAGGAAAAATAAAAGGTCAAATATGGTGAAATTAACACAAAAAAAATATTTAAGTAAATGAAAAAAGAAAACACAAAAGGATCTGTGGAATCACCCCCTTTCCTAAAAAAATAACTTAAATGGATAACGTGGTTTGGCATGTGGCATGTGTCTCTCCGGCCGTCCCGTGTGTGATGTCAGTAGTCAGCGATGGGCGCCAGGTCTCGACTGAGTGTCACTGACACATTCGTGTAAAGACTCCTCCGGGACACTAGAGGGGAGTAATTCAAGTTATTCAGGCCATCCAGACTCTGTCTTTCCTTGGATCTACGAAGCAACTTGTATCTGAAAAGCAAAAGGAGATAATGTGCATAAGTCTTCAGCAACCAGTCGAAAACTGAAACTTGACACATGGGGCCCTATTTAATGAGGGAAAAAAGGTTGACATGGTCTAAAAGGGTTGTCTCTATTCTATAAATAAGTAAATAGCAACGTGCTAACAAATGCGCTTGAACACACACCTGGTTTTCAGACCAGCAGCCCATGGGCCATTGCATTTGCTATTTAAACAACGTGGCGCTGGAACTGAAAATGAAAAGTGCGTCGGGCTGAAACTAGCAAGAAACACTCGCTTCGTGGCTGGCGCTGCATTGCACCGGGTGTATGATAGTGTATGATAAGGCCCAAGAATGATTTAGGAAGGATTTACACAGAAATTTATCCTGCTCATGAATAAGGCCTAAACTTACAAAAGATTGGGCCTTTTTTCATTAAATACAATTCAATGCAATAATGAGAATCATGACATTCTAGAACCCAACAATCCGTCCGACATCTCCAAAGTGGAAAAGGACTACATGGAGACTTCAGACATTTAGAAGAGGCCTGTCCTGAACCTACCTGCCCAAAAACTGCACTTCTCCTCGGTGGTGGTGTGGTATAGACATGTAACGGCCGAGCTCTCCATGAGGTCGACTCACTTTGTAGCCGGCGAACTGAACCCTGAAAAGAAACACACATATTAGTGTCAACAAAGTCTCAGGCCACCGCACAAACTATCAAAGTGTTTATTTACAATATTTACTATCAACTATTTACGATACTCTATAACTACTCTATTAACTATACTCTATAGATGCAACATCATGCAAAAGCAATAGATTTTGGTTACAATAGATTTGGCCATGGTTAATTTATTCAATGTTTCATAACGGGGGTTGGACAAAACAAAGTGAGCAGTGTTTGGCTATCCTTACAAAAAGAAGTTTATTCAGCCGGGCAATTAGTGTACGTCTTTAAAACTACAGAGAGAATATACTTTCAGTCGACTTTTTATATGAAATATACTTACATTTATATAAGTGTACTTGGTTTATACATATAAACCAAGGTATATTTGGTTTATAAGTGTACTTGGTTTATACGTATTTGGCCCATACTTGTACTTAATCTTTTGATCGAGATACATGGTACATCGGGGCTAAAGCCACACCTTCAGAAAAATGTGCTTTTCACTTCTCCCATAGTTAATTATTTTCATTACACGAGAGTCGATGTTAAACCTCATGCTGATTTGTACTCGGCTTTCGCCAAGATAAGCACAAACTAAGACGTAGTTTTACAGTAACCTATGCTTCTCTCTCTCCATCTCTCCATCCATTTACGCTTCTTTCCATTTGGTGGTGTGACTCCCCTTCTGTCCGGCGTTAACGACTGCAGTGTACTTGGCGCGTCAGTACACACAACGGCTGCAACTACAGTGTGGTCTCCCCAGTGGACCAGCACGACAACCGTCTGGATTGAGCCGAGTAGGGGACATCTCTAGGGTCTTCAAGTGGGCACCTTCCGTCCTCAGTGTTTCGTCGACTAGCCCACGACACCTCAAGAGGGCTCGACAGTGACTCTGGCATCCCAGAGTCACCCCCCTCCGTCCCCCACTCAACTCAGCCCAGCTTACTGACCTTTACATCCCTCCTGCTGCTGAGGTTGCTCCTTCCTTGTAGTTCACATGTGACCTAACCACAATCTCACAATCTCTCCGCAACCCAACCATACGCGCCAACCCGTTTGACTAAGGCTGTCGAGCCCCACTGTCTTCGTTAATGCAGTTTCAGTGGCAACGGTTCCGTATGGCATACTACCTACCGCAAAACACAATATTTGCCCAAACACCAAACCTCATTCACGCAATATACACAGGAACGTAATAACTGTAATTACTATGCAAACTATACAAATAAACCAACAGACTCTTCGAGTTTTTCAAGAATTCTACGAAACCGTAGCATGGCGGCCTGCACACAGCCAGCCAGAATCTTTCCGTCTCAACCACAGCCAGTTGCTGCTCCTCTCTGCGGCTTCAGATAAGTTCTTTACTGTGTGACGCAACTCTTGGCCACTGAATCCGACGTCTCTGAGGAACCGGGTTGTAGAGTGTGCCACAAATCCTCGACAACCCACTTCCACTGGATAAACCTGAACTCTCCATCCACGCTGTTCTGCTTCAGTGGCCAGATGAGCATACCGCAGTTTCTTCCTCTCATATGCCTCATCTACCGCATCCTCCCATGGCACTGTTAACTCTATCAGTTCAGCAATGCGTGCTGATCCAGACCACAAAACAATATCTGGTCGTAGGTTAGTGGTGGCAATCTCAGGTGGAAAAATAAGCCGTTGATCAAGATCAGCCAGCATTTTCCAGTCCCTAGCAGCTTCCAGTTGTACTGGGCGAGAATTGGTTTTAACACCTTTTCTTGGTGGTTGCTCGCCTGGGCTGAGAAATATTGTCTTCTGTGTGTAATGTTTTGCTAGAACGGGTGGCAACTTATTGGTCATGTTGCGCTTGCCTTCCAATGCTAAAGCCAAACATCGCAATACTTGGTCATGGCGCCAAGTAAACCAACCTTGCCTAAGAGCCACCTTACATCCTGTCAAAATGTGCCTTAATGTGGCAGGTGAGGAACACAAAGGACAAGAGGGATCCTCTCCTACCCAGAGGTTTAGGTTCTGTGGTGATGGGAGAACATCATATGTTGACCTGATAATGAAACTGATCCTACTCTCTTCCATTGACCAAAGGTCTTGCCAGCCCATCTTGCGTTGTTGCACACTCTCCTTTCTCATCCACTCTCCCTGCTTGGCCTGGGAAATGGCCTTTATACACCTCATCCTCTCCTCCTGCTTTCGCACCTCGTTGACTACCAGCTTCCTCCTTTGAGCTGGGCCTACCTTGTGCCATTTAGGAGGAGCTAAACTGAGCCCAAAACCCCCTCTTCCATGCTGTACCTGTCCCACAATATCACCAATTTGAAGGGCAGCCTTTGCCTCTACCACAGATTTTTTTGCTGACCACTTCCTACCAGTTTTTAACACAGGTGCTGCCTCCCTTACACATTTGTCGCGTGACTCTACTAAGGTCAATTCCAGTCTGACCTTGGCGCACTTAAACTCCTCGGTTAAAGCAGAGACTGGCAGCTGCAATATTCCTTTACTATAAAGTCCCACTCTGCTGAGGCAGCGTGGAACTCCCAACCATTTCCTGATGTATGAACTTATTAACGCTTCCAGCTTATCCACTGTTGTCAAAGAAACCTCGTACTGAAAGCACCAGAGTTTTAGTTTGCCTGGTAGAGCACAGCTGTTTCTGCTCTTCAACCCTTCCACTGCTTGTCGTCTAACTTCTCCCACTCGAACTGTGTCCTTTAGATCCCCATTGTACCATCTCACAAGACTCTTCACTGGCTTCTCAGAAACTGTTGGTATTGCCTCACCACATTTACATTTATGGAGCAACACATTTTGTGTGCAAATAAATAATGAAAGTGGTTAATATTGTTTAAAAATCGTATAAATGTATGAGGTTGTGGGCGGGGCTGGGCGGGGGTTACCCCACAGACACACGGGGTAAAACCAGCAAGGGGCAAAATAAACACAGTATTTATAAGCAAAGTATACTTTAATTTAGTCCTAAGAAGTATGGAAGTGGTACACTTACAAGTATACCAGCAGTTCATTAATTCTAGTATACAATATTTAGTATACATAAAATATACTCTTCACTATACTGATGAAATGAACTTAAAGTATAGGTCTTCTTTTTTTTTAAAAGTAGTCATGTAATCTCGAAATTGTGACCCTCTCCATGTAAAATAAAACAGTTCTCTTACGAGAGGTTCTCTCGTATTGCGTAAGTTGCTTACGCTACGGGTAAAGTCATCTTTTCTCAAGATCTGAAGCCAAAAAATTATCCTTAATTTTGTATTTATTTTCAACGCAGTGCGGCGGACAGCAGACCATAGCAGGCTGTATAAGCGTGCTCATTGGCTGTCCTGTGGCAACTGCAGCAGCCTACCGGTGAGCCCTGCATGACGTCACGCCCAATGAGGGCGCTTCGCACCCTCTACGCATCACACCCCGCCAGAATGGGAGTGGCTAGCGTTTATAAAGAGGGGGTCAACAGGCTGAACTCTGATTTTCATCTCTTCAGCGAAACTCTTCGCATCGCTGGATCTTGAGAAGCTACCGCCGTCGAAACAAGTAACCAAGCAAGCTTAGGAAGAGTCTGAAAAAAAGCCGCCCGTCTTCACCTCCTTCAGCCGTCAGGGCGCTGAGAGTTTACATCACGCGCTCCGCCGCCTTCAGGCGTTCTGAGCAGCTCTTTGTTTCGTTTGGAGGGCGCACCGAGACATAGCCCGGAACATAGCCTGTCCAGATGGATAGTGGACGCTATCGCAGCAGCTTATGCATCCAAACACCTGCAGTGCCCTATGGGCCTCAGGGCCCATTCCACTGGAGGCATGGCTTCGTCGGGGGCTTGGTCCAGCGGGATTTCTATTCACGATATTTTGTATGGCGGCAGGCTGGGCCTTCCCCGCTACATTCATGAGGTTTTATAACCTGGAAGTTCCCGCCTTGCAGGCTAAACTTTTATCAGTCTAAGCCAGGGGCGTCACTAGGATTTTCATTTTAGGGGGGCTAAGCCCCCAACATGATTTTTTTTTTAAATATAAAAAAAGGTAACACTTTAGTTTAGGATCTAAAGATCACTATTAACCATCTTCATTATTAACGATGCAAAGGCACGGTTTTATAATAACTGTGATCCCAAATGTGAGATAGAGGAAATAGAGGGGTTCGGGGTCTCCCCGAGAAAATTTTGATTTCTCTGATCTACATTTGTGCATTTTAAGATGTTCTGAAGGTCAAAAAACTTGGATAGTGGGCAGCTGATTATTTTTCTCTCCACATCAGCATCACACTCTTTTTCTCTTTGTTTTTATCTTGCCCTGTCTCTTCCCCTCCTAAAGCTGAGCTTTGACTGATAAAGGCTTTTCATTTTTGTCTGTCAGTGAAGAAAGTAAACATAGGGTCAACTGATAGGTTGATTTTCCCTATGAATCATTTTCTCAGAACCGTTTATTTACTGAAAGCTACTAAATGTAATTAAGTTTATTAAATGCATTCACAATTTGTAGGCTACACATTTATTATTGATCTTATGCCTAATATAGGGCCGTAGACAGGGCTTTATAATCACAGAGGTCCTAAATTTGAGGGTGGTAGGGGGTTCAAATTTTTTATTTCTCTGATATGTGCATTTCAAGATGTTTGAAGACCAAAAAAAAGGATAAGAAATGGCTTTAAAGGAGAACTCCGGCGCAAAATGAACCTTTGGTCTAATTACACATTTTTACCTAGTCAACCGTTATCTGAGATTTGTTTTCATGATTATCGAATGTAAATAGTTTTATCTCTAAAAACAGTTTAGCCTATAAAGCTAGTATAACGCTAGTATATTGGGCATGGAGTAATGACAAATAAAAATAGCTTGTTAATACCACTAACAAGGCTCAAAATAGCCCCACACTAACACGGTAGCATAATGAGGGTCCCTACCTTCAAACCGAAGCATTGAGAACTTTGTCAGTGTCCAGACAGTTTAATAAGAAGATATTTTATACATACAGTCAACTTCGCGTATACAGGCAGAAGCCATCTTTGGAAAACAGTCTCTCCCAGTTGATCTACGAACGCCGATCCAAGTGCGCTGGTGAGATGTGAACGAGCTATAAGTTGTGATAAAGTGAGCGCGAACAGCAGGCTTGGATCGGCGTTCGTAGATCGACTGGTAGAGACTGCTCACCGGTAGGCTGCTGCAGTTGCCACAGGACAGCCAATGAGCACGCTTATACAGCCTGCTATGGTCTGCTGTCCGCCGCACTGCGTTGACAATAAATACAGAATTAAGGATAATTTTTTGGCTTCAGATCTCGAGAAAAGATGACTTTACCCTTGACTTACGCAATACTCGTTCCCTCTTCTAGAGAGAACTGAGGTTACGTTAGGTAACCGCAGTGGTGGGCCGTCAGAGCCAGCAAGGCCTTCTCTGCTGGCCTAAACACTATCAGAATCACTGACTTGCACTTTAATATATTTTTTCCATGAATGAGTATTAAATTATTCCCAATAGTTCATTCTCTTAATTTCATAGCTTTTCTCTTGGTTGCGCTGCTTCCAGTAGTGTATGTTTATTTTAGTGCTTTTATCCAATCATATTTCAGCCATCATGCGTTGCCAGGGTCAAAGAAATCTGCCTTCAGGCCTTCAGAATCGACAGTGCGGGCGCCTGTAGCTTGCAATGAATGGCAATGAAAACGTTGCTTTAACCAATCAGATAAGCAGTCAGATTTAATCAGCCAATCAGATTTCGATTTGACTGCAGCGGGGCCATCTAGCAGGCATACAATAACGTCGGCATTTTCACGTTCTTTGATTGGATGCTCAGAGCGCGTACTATTACTGGTAGTCAGTAGGCTATCCGCATCTGTAGCGAACTGCAAACTAAAATATATTCCTGTAGATTTAATAGTTTTTCAACCCACAAATTAATGTTTCTTTCCCTCCTTGACCCCCAGCAGGTTCAAACCTACCGGAAAAAATCCCTTATTCAGCCTGAGCTTAAACGCAGAGTCACGGAACTCTTCGATCTGTCCGGGTAAAAACTGACTAATGTAAGTTATGCCACGAATGATTTTGAAGGCAAAAGTCCCGCTGATCTCATTGCTTTCGTTCAAAACTCTGTGTGAGAGCATGGGACAGCTGTACACATCGTCAGGTTATGCGGTGACTGTGTCCACTGCTTTTTTCGAGCAGACACTCTATAAAGCGAATTAAAACTTATGCTAGAAATATGACGGGACTCGACTTTCAGCATTAGACTCGTTATTGTTGGAACTGAAACGCACAGATAATTTAAGTCTTCCTGAGGAAAGAAATAAGGATGGATTTTGTGTAAAAATTAATCAGTAGTTTTGGTGAGTATAATGCTTTTTTCCCCGTGGTGAATCTGATTTTCTTCTTAATTTTTCTTTTAAATTTATGATCGAAACTTAATTTTTTTTCAAACATCCATACTATTGTAACCATTGAACGACAAGATAAGGGAGGCTCCGTTTCTGAACTTATAATCGGAACGCAAGAACAACTGTACACAAACAGCAGAACTCACGCGCTCGTTTCTCTCTAACGTTACCGGCCTTTTCCAAACTCACCGCATTAACCCAATAACTGCCGGTGCAAAATAAAAACAACAATTATAGCGTCTTTGCGCTGCTACACTATTAAAAGTTATTAATTCAGGTAGGACAGAAGGCCTAGGTGTGAAATGCACGGCCCGCCACTGGGTAACCGAGTACGTTTTATTAGGCTAGAGATATGACTGGAGATATGTTTATGACATATTGAAAAGTACTATTCATCTTTTATCTGTAAACCATCTTAATTGAGGAAAAGATTATTGGGAGCAGCTTTAACGGCCATTGTCAGTAATTACTTTTATAGTATGTACTATAGATTTAGTGGGATCCAGATAGTCCTGTCCGGGAAGCATTACTGTCAGCTTTTACAGTCCTCTGGGAGCGTCTCTTCGGAAAAGACATGAGATCATAGTGTTGCAAAACCCTATTATGTGTTGTGAGGAGTTTGGACGTGTACCTGTGCCAGAGGTCGTCGTCTTCCCCTCCCCAGCCCCAGAAAGCATTGGGAAAGCCGTTTATCTTCCGGAACTGATCCGCGGTCATCCCGCTCACGCCACCGAAGAACTCCTCATAGGGAAGCCTATACAGGTCCCAGAGACAAATAATTCACATACTGAACAGCATTTCAAAATGGCATGCGAGGAAAACAAGTGTATTGTGGAAACTTACATGTAAGAGTACTTGTTGAGTTCGACTGCAAAGTGTCGTGGCATTTCACCACAGCCATAGTAGTTGCGGTCGTTCTCCAGGATGTGGTCGACATCGTGGAATATCACGCAATCCCAGTTCAAGTCCTTCATGGCCTCTTTGAACCCGACATTAAACAGCATGGCACGATTGAACGGTTCGTTTCCGGCCTGTACAGACACACACACACACACACATCCGTCTATTTACTTCCTGTCCTTTACTCTTAGCACTATTGTAAAATGACTGTTTGACAATAAAACAAGACTATTTTAGTGCTGCCCATGACAATGGCAATCTTGCAGAAGCACATATTAGCAGAATGAATTTGTGTCAATCATTTTTAGAAATGGTGTGTCAGTCCAAACTTTGTGTGTGTGTTTAGAAAAGCTAAGAGGACACCGCAGTCTCAGCCGGTGAGATTCACTCGCTCTGTTACTCTCACCTGTTCGATGACGTAGACGCCGAACTGCAGTCTCTGTCTCTGCAGTGCTGGGATCAGATGCCGGAAAAGTATCGGGAGGTGCTCAACGCGATTTCGGAAAGGTACCAAGATGGCCACCTAAAACATGTGAAATCGGAAAAACAACCGCAAAAATGAGGAAATATCAATTCAGAAAAAGCACTTGAATTACCTGTGTGTTCAACATGTGTGTGTGTGTGTGTGTTAGGGATGTACACTGAATATTTAAGATATATTTGATGTTTATTTGGTGTTTTCTAAAGGCTGTCCCAATGTCGCATCTGATTTAAAAATCACAAATATAAATTTTGATTCATTTCCATGAAATAGTTATTGTGTCCATTTTAATGAATTGTGTCATTACACTGATTCACTGACTAAACTGCTTCATTACTCAGTGTTGAAGCTCCCATGCAGCATTTTTAATGGTTTTAAATTGATGTTTTTATTTATTTATTTGTAACATATAATAATATCCCCCATTTTCACAGACAGGGTTTAGATTAAGCCAGGATTAGGCCTTAGTTTAATTAGGGCATTTAAGTAGCTTTTATAAACGTGTCTTAGAAAAAAACATAACTGATGTTCATCTTGAGACAAAGCAATGCCACTGCTATATTTTAAGATTTGCTTTCAGTTAAAACAGCTCAAACATGCATTTCACACTGTGACTATAGCCCTAAAGGTGCAGTCTGTAAGATTGACAGCCAGTGGTGGAAATAGACACTGCAGTCCAAATTAAAAATATCGGAGATCGTTGTTTCTCCCGCCCCGCCTCCTCAGACTCGACGGTTTGAGGACACGCGACAGGAACGACCGCAATGGACAATGCAAATTGGCAATGTACAGTATCACAGACCAAAACAAAAACAAACACTCCAGCCTGGAAACGCACTTTTCACAGTAAAATAACCGGCCGTAGAAGTGATTTCTCAGAGAAACGAGAATGTGAACTTAGCATGTTTCCTCAATATATGCAAACATATTATGGTATTTTTAGTAGAGTGGAAAAGTTACATACAGCTCCTTTAAGCCTCATCTGTGAAACCAGGGGAAAATGTATTATTATATTGAAGCAACGAAATTAAACAAAAAATAATTATTGTACTTCTCGCATAAAGCATTTTAAATGAACTTGGCAACTATTGCTGTTTGCAAATGAATCACTCTGACCCAAATGAACACTATTTTGAACACCGAGTCCCAGTGTGGTTTTAACCAGATGATGCAACAACCTTTTTTTCCACTGGTTGGCATCTATGACCACAACACTTCTGAAGAGAAAGTTGGCAACAGAGAGTTGTTTTAGGTTTCGCATTGACTAACCTTCCAGCGTGGGAGACAGTCGTGAGGTTTCCAGTGTCCTCCGAGAGAAAGACTCGTATCTGCCCGGTCCAGAAGCTTCTCCACGTCTGATAGAGCGATCTCACTCATGTTCACCTTCAGCCGGCCTTCTGACAGACAGAGGAGAGAATACTCATCAACAATTATTTATGTGATCTTATAAGCACATGTGTAGCTGATGACACCAGGAACACGCACAAGCTCTGTGTCAAAACCTTGTGGAAACCTATTTTCAAGTGGACTTATTTGATTTGCTAGCCATGACAGCCATATTGGATGTCGGTTTAGTTTATTATTGCACATTATTCTACGGGGCTGTTGAATGCTTGATTCTGTGTGGTTGACGAATGTTCTAAGGTGTGCAATTATTTTCAGGGAAAGTAGTTCCAGCAGGTCTTAATTATTGTTTTGTGCCACAAAATTACATTTTATTATGGATTATGCATGTATTAGTGACTATGGAAAAGCACATATCACTTACTCACACTCACTCTCCCACTCAAACACACACACACACACACACACACACACACACACACACACACACACACACACACACACACACACACACACACACACACACACACACACACACACACACACACACACACACACACACACACACACACACACACACACACACACACACACACACACAAGTGTGATGTCAGCGCTGCTCTGACGATTTTATCAGTAAAATTGTTTAGCAACTTCTACATGACGTTTCTCAGTGGTGAGGTGCAGATGAACGTAGTTTCGCTATTACTAGACGCTGGTGCTGAACACTGTTAAGAGACACATGCTGAGGTAGTTCGCACATGCTTAATCTCTTTCTCTCTCTCTCTCTCTCTCTCTCTCTCTCTCTCTCTCTAATACTGCATTAGTCTGGTAGTATCAGTGGCTCAAGTCTCTGTTACTAACTCTAAAATGGCTTTTTGTAATTAGCAACGGTGGCGAGAGATGAGATGCGTAAGAAATTGGTCCCACACACAAGAGCGTTTCAAGGACAAAAACCTGTGTGCATAATGTGCATAATTTTTCTAATAATTCATTATTCAGTCAATTATTCCTTACATAACCGGCCTCAGGGTGAGATTAGACCGTCCTGGATGATTTCCATGACGCGGCTCTGTTAATGGTTCTTCGTGGTCTACATTTGTTCCATCAGCAAACACAAAGCGCAAACAGAGGAGTCTGATTCACTGATTCACTAATGATTTACTCTCATTACTCTTTACCTAAAACGTGATCAAACTGATTCCAGTTCGCATGGATCCGCGGAAACGTCTTTAGTTCTGTGTTATGCCGGCCAGACCAGTAATTTGGCGATGTCAGTTTGTAAAGAAAGACTGCGCACATATATATTCAAACGCGCATACCTATAGACTAAACGAGTAATATGCATGTGCACGCTGTCAGCGTTTTCACAGATTCACGGTTTTGAAGTTTACACGGAGATGATAACGCTTTTCAAAAATGTTCAAAACTTGCACCAAACGCTGCTGTCGTGCAAATGAACGGCCAGAACGCATTAGAAGTTTTCTGTTTTCTGTTAGAACGGTGTCGTGTTAGCGGCCCCTAAGTTAATAACTAATGATCGTTGCGACGGAAGTGAATCAATCAAAACTAACTTTAGCTGGAAAATAACTTTATTCTAGAGCTGTCATAAAGCCAACACAATCTCTGTTACTTTAATCTCCTATTATCACTGTAAAGCAGCTTTGAAACAGTCCATATTGTTAAAAGCGCTATATAAATGAAGGTGACTTGACTAATGGGTTTTAAAATCTCACTGATTGAATGTGTCAAGGAGAAGATGTGTTTTCATCACGGGTCAGATTGACTAAAACTATTTTATTTTCAGTATTTTAAGTTCAGTATTTTATTGATAAAATAAAATAAAATTCTGTATCAAAATGTATAGGCAAGACAAGTAGTTTTAGGCATGGTTTGTAGGGAATTACAAACCTGCGCACATATATTCAAACGAACATATAGAATCAGTTCTTAATGCGCATGTGAAGGCCATCAGCGTTTATCACAGGTTCAGTTTAAAGTCTGTTTAGAGAGAACGGTGTCGTCTTAGCGGCCCCTAATTTAATAACAAATGATCATTTCAATGGAAGTGAATCAATCAAAACTAACTTTAACATTATTCAAGAACCGCTATAAAACCAAACCAATCTCTGTTACCTTAAATTATATGTTTATCTCTGTAAAGCTGCTTTGAGGCGATCTACATTGTTAAAAGCGCTGTATAAATGAGGATGACTTGACTTCAGCCGCAACAATAACCCTTTCCATGCCTTTCCAGCGCTCATTTTTCACTGCGTGTCTTTAGTAAATCCTGACAGTAGTTGTTTAACATTTTGTAAAGCTGTTAGTAACTAGTCTGAGGCTGAGCACTTACTCATGGAGGGCAGCTTCTCCGGGCACACGTGATCCGGCCGGTATGTAAAGCCCAGCGGGAGGAAAGGAGTGGTGGGAACTTCTGTCTCGTTGAAGTTAAACTCATACGTGTACTCTAAAAAACAACGAGAGAATCATACATTCATGCATCAGTGCATTACACACATCACCAGCACTATCTTCCATGAAGCCTGGCGTATCCTGATGCAGCGCTCCTCCAGTCGGGATCCACATCCCAGGATGTTTCAGACGTCTCCCTATTCAACATGCTGAGCGTCAGGGGTTTAACTAGTGAGACGTCCAACACCTTCTGGGAGGTGGATCACGGGGACTGGGGTACATACATCTTGTATATCTCGTTTTCATCAAATCAATGTCGCATAGTACTTTGTTAAACGGGTACACTGGCTTTAAAGCTGCCTTGATTTATGAATGAAAAATATAAAGTCTCTTTCTACAGAGCATGGGATTGAAAAACTTTTTCGGTAACTCTTTATAACACTGTTCCTTCATTAATGAATAACTACACAGGAACAAATGGGTATCGCACTATTAATATTCTACTAATAAGAAACTCTGATTAACACATTAGTAGGTAACAGCGCTCAGATTAATGTGGAAGTTCACTATTAGCTAATCAATAACTTTTTCATACCTCACTGAAGTCTACTATACAGGTTCATAATTGACATGAATTATGCATAATTTATAATAAAAGGTTACGGTAACCCATTAGTAATGACTCAAGTGTTACTAAATCCTTCTAAAGGAACTACTCATTATTTGGATCAGTATTATAAAGTGGAAAACATGATAACTAATATTGACTGAAGTCATTGTAAGCTTTTGAGACTTTTGTCAGATTTTGAATAGTAATTTCTTCTGATGGATTTGGCAACACTTTACTCATCACTAGTGTGTTCCCATGATCTCCACTTTACTGATCCAAATAACTAGTAGTTCCTTTAGAAATATTTTGTAACACTTGATTCATTACCATCCAAAATCTTACAAAAACCTCAAAAGCTTACAGTGACTTATTAAGCTTTTCACATTAAATACTGATCCAAATGTTTAATAGTTCATTTTGAAGGATTTAGTAACACTTGATTCATTACTAATGACTTACAATGAATTACCTTATATTACACATGATGCATTATTAATATTAATTATGAACCTGTATATAGTAGTTGTAGACTTCAGTGAGGTATGAAAAATAGTTATTGATTAGCTATAGTGATACCCACATTCATCTGAGCGCAATTACTTACTAATGTGTTAATCAGAGTTTCTTATTAGTTAATAGTAGTTACTAGAATGTTAACAGTGCGTTACTCTTCTGTTCCTGTGTAGTTATCCATTAATGGAGGAACAGTGTTATAAATGGTTTTAACTTTTTTATATATATTTGGTGTGTCTCAGGAGGATCTCATGCTGTGTTTCTCCGGCGAGGACACGCCGTTACTGTCGCCCGTGTGTCTCCGTTCCCTCAGCCGGAGCGTGTCGTACCTGTGCCGTTGACGTTGTAGGCGCTGCGCACCATCTGCTCCAGCACCTGAGCGCCCATGCTCCTCACGTTCTCCCGGATCTGGATCCCCCGGGCCTGAGCCATGAACAGGTATTCATTAACTGAGGACACACACACAGAGAGAGAGTGTGCTATTACCACTAGAATAACTATATACTGTACATACTGTACTGACACAACACATTAGTATCATCATTATGGTCATCAGTCTGCAGCTGCTGTGAGACATTTGTAACATTTGGGCCATAAGCATAGGTTCATCTTATATCCAAGTGTTCTCAAGCCATGTGATAGGAAAAGTTATTCATTATAAATTAAAATTCTTCCCCTCCACCACTTAAGTGTGCACATATTCAACTTTTGTCCGAGGAGAAGAGTATCAATGAATATCTGAAGTTTCAGTCTCACATGCTTGTGTCACATGCTTTCAGAGGACTGGTAATATAGCACACAAGATATGGACTACTTTTATAGTATTTATTTTTTTGTTGTTGTCATTTTTCGAGCTTGAGCCTCATCATCATTAACTTTCACTGTATTGAAAACAAAAAAAACAACATTTTTTGTTCCATGAAAAAAGAAAAGAAAAATATATAGGCTATGTGTGACATGACTGACATGAGGGTGACACGGTGTTATTTTAATATACTGCTATAATACACTTTTACTTAAACCTATTTTATTTCAGTTAGTTGCCAAGGCAACATATACATTTTTTGTTGACATTTGTTATCTATTAATTTTATTTTATTTTATTATATGAAACCCAATCAAATAATTTACAAGTATTGCAGGTGTTTCACATAATATATATTATCATATATCACATTGTCATATACTTGCTGCAAAGTGCAACAACTTTATCAAATCTATTTGCGTAGTGGTGTTATGTGTGAGAAACCCACAGGCAATGTGTTGCTGTGAGCTCAATGTCACACACGTTCAACTCACTAATCCATTCAAACCTTATTTTCTGGCATTAATGTTTGATTTTTGTATCAGCAAGATAAAATGTGATGAGCCATCATTTAATGCTGGACTCCGTCCTTCACGAGTATGTGTGTGTGTGTGTGTGTGTGTGTGTGTGTGTGTGTGTGTGTGTGTGTGTGTGTGTGTGTGCAGTCACAAGGCCGCACAGATAAAGCAGAAAACAATCACTTTTTATGTGCAGATACGAGTGTCCCTCAGATAACCCAGCACACATCTTCATGCTCACTCTCTGAGTGTGTGTGTGTGTGTGCATCTTTAGATATACACCTGCATCCCTCCCTGAAACACTGCACACACACCACAGCCCTCGTTCCAGTGCGATCTCCTCTCCCTGAAACACTGCACACACACCACAGCCCTCGTTCCAGTGCGATCTCCCCTCCCTGAAACACTGCACACACACCACAGCCCTCGTTCCAGTGCGATCTCCCCTCCCTGAAACACTGCACACACACCACAGCCCTCGTTCCAGTGCGATCTCCTCTCCCTGAAACACTGCACACACACCACAGCCCTCGTTCCAGTGCGATCTCCCCTCCCTGAAACACTGCACACACACCACAGCCCTCGTTCCAGTGCGATCTCCTCTCCCTGAAACACTGCACACACACCACAGCCCTCGTTCCAGTGCGATCTCCCCTCCCTGAAACACTGCACACACACCACAGCCCTCGTTCCAGTGCGATCTCCCCTCCCTGAAACACTGCACACACACCACAGCCCTCGTTCCAGTGCGATCTCCCCTCCCTGAAACACTGCACACACACCACAGCCCTCGTTCCAGTGCGATCTCCCCTCCCTGAAACACTGCACACACACCACAGCCCTCGTTCCAGTGCGATCTCCTCTCCCTGAAACACTGCACACACACCACAGCCCTCGTTCCAGTGCGATCTCCTCTCCCTGAAACACTGCACACACACCACAGCCCTCGTTCCAGTGCGATCTCCCCTCCCTGAAACACTGCACACACACCACAGCCCTCGTTCCAGTGCGATCTCCTCTCCCTGAAACACTGCACACACACCACAGCCCTCGTTCCAGTGCGATCTCCCCTCCCTGAAACACTGCACACACACCACAGCCCTCGTTCCAGTGCGATCTCCCCTCCCTGAAACACTGCACACACACCACAGCCCTCGTTCCAGTGCGATCTCCTCTCCCTGAAACACTGCACACACACCACAGCCCTCGTTCCAGTGCGATCTCCCCTCCCTGAAACACTGCACACACACCACAGCCCTCGTTCCAGTGCGATCTCCTCTCCCTGAAACACTGCACACACACCACAGCCCTCGTTCCAGTGCGATCTCCCCTCCCTGAAACACTGCACACACACCACAGCCCTCGTTCCAGTGCGATCTCCCCTCCCTGAAACACTGCACACACACCACAGCCCTCGTTCCAGTGCGATCTCCCCTCCCTGAAACACTGCACACACACCACAGCCCTCGTTCCAGTGCGATCTCCCCTCCCTGAAACACTGCACACACACCACAGCCCTCGTTCCAGTGCGATCTCCCCTCCCTGAAACACTGCACACACACCACAGCCCTCGTTCCAGTGCGATCTCCCCTCCCTGAAACACTGCACACACACCACAGCCCTCGTTCCAGTGCGATCTCCCCTCCCTGAAACACTGCACACACACCACAGCCCTCGTTCCAGTGCGATCTCGTGCAGAAGCTCTGGAGTAATGTGTATGTGCTTAACACTGCACTGTACGGAAACTCAGCTCAGAGTATGCATTTTGTTTTTTGGCATGGGCTTTTTTGTATTTTATTTTATTTAATAAAGATAATTTAATTTTGTCAATGTGAAATACATTGGACATAAACACAGTGAATTAAGTTTAGTTTATTTGCAGTAAACTATAGTGAAGCATTTTTTTTAAATGAATTTTTTTTACATACACACATGCAGCTTGTCCATGTTGAGCACATCTAAAACATTCTCTTCAAACACACTCACACTCGCACACACTCGCACACACTCGCACACACACACACACACACACACACACACACACACACACACACACACACACACACACACACACACACACACACACACACACACACACTCACACACACACACACTCACACTCGCACACACTCACACACACTCGCACACACACACACACACACACACACACACACACACACACACACACACACACACACTCACACACACACACACTCACACTCGCACACACACACACACACACACACACACACACACACACACACACACACTCACACACACACACACTCACACTCGCACACACTCACACACACTCGCACACACACACACACACACACACACACACACACACACACACACACACACACACACACACACACACACACACACACACACACACACACACACACACACACACACACACACACACACACACAGTAATCTTAGGAATGTATATGCCCACCTTCAGCTCTGATTACACAATCATACCCGTCAGTCCACTATCTGACTAATGCAGCAACATGGGGAACAACACTGAGTGCAAACATTGCGTAATCACAATTTTCCTGAAAACCGTTTAAGATAATTCATATACGTACATAATGCTCTGAACCAAAATTGGTGTAAAACAATATTTACTAGTTAATTCCACAAATAAGAAACGGAAAGTAACACAATTAATTAAACGTGAAATTTTGAAGAAGAAAGACTGTTTATTTACAACTTTGTGAAAACAGTTTTTACAGCACATACATTGGATGTTTCCTCAAACCATCAAGAATGATGGTATTAAAAGTACCTTATTCATCAATAATGTAACAAGAGGCTGTGTTATACTGTGAATATAGTCACGGCTAATGGACAACAAAGTACATTCCCAATATATCCTTGATTTTTGTAAAGCAAGTTATTACTGTGGGTGGCATGGACTCGTCGACCGGTTCTGCCAGTTGTCTGTGTTTACTAGTGTCGACAAGTCATGTATTACTGCAGTTGTGCTCGCGCTAAACCAGGAGCGCTTCCAGTCTCCCAGTGTACGCACGCCGTGGGCAAACATCCGAACGCAACACGCGCAATTACTGACAATGGATAGACGACATTCGCTAGTTTTGTTTTCAGTTTTTTCCATGCTACTTCGGTGTGAGACAACACTGCAAACGATTCAGGAAGTCAAATCACCAACTATTTCAGAACATTTCAATAGAGATTCATTTGCGAATCTGGCATCGCTAGTTAATCCCATTGTAGCTACATGATATTGTCATGATATTTCACCACATTAACACACATTAATAACTCGAACCTGCAAATACTATAAGTATATCCAACTTTTCGCAAACACACAGTATAGCCTACGCTCACATAAAGCGATATATAGCAAATCTCAACTGTTCACAAAATGCGAACTATATTATTATATATTATGCAAAATGCAACTATAAGTCATGGAGATATAAAGATATTATAAAGATTAACATTTGATTTTCTGTAAAGCTACTCTGAAACAATGAGTATTGTGAAAAAAGCTATACAAATAACATTGTATACTGCAAAGTAACCTGTAATGGCAAAATATATTTGTAGTTGAGAAAAAGTGAAAATAAAGTGAACCCGGAGAGCTCTGCATTCCCAGAGCGGCCTGTGGATGAGCCGTGTTGCTCAGAGGAGGACACAAACCAGACGCAAGCGGGACACTGTTTGCCACTGCAAGCCAAGGGTCATTTACATGAGATGAGCACTAACACACACACACTGCTTAAAGGGAGGCAATGCTGTTCATACACAATTGTTGTTACACTGGTTGAAACTCTCTCCACATCCTGATAGTAATCAATTAGAGAAGATCTCAATATTTAAAAATGTACATATATCTTCTATATGTGTTCGTCCAATCATTTGATCAGGTCCGAATCCTGTCAACATGTGTGTTTCCATCCCTCTGCGCACAACACAACGAGTTCATGTCATCCCCGTAATGAAGAGATGGCAACCCGTGGCGTGACCCGGATCTGTCCACGCACTCAGACTCTAGAAGCACTTCAGTGTCGACTCTATCAGCGCTGACATGAGTCTGCAGCAGTCGGTCTACGGTCATTATTACTGCAATGTTACGTGCTTTGAGACACGG